GCCGTGGGGCATGGCTGCTGCCGGCCAGGCAGCTGAAGGGGCAAGCGCTGCACCCCCAGTGCCGACCCTCTCCTCCAGCCTTCCCTGCACTGCCTGGTGCGGGGAGACATGTGTGGCTCCCCCCCGTCTCGGGGAGGGGGCTCATGTGAAGACCCCATGCTGAAACCGTGTGTCCTAGCCCAGCACGGCAGCCTCCATTTTGCCGCGCGGAGGCCAATTGCAAAGGGGGATGTGAAGGGGAGCTTGTCCCGTGCACAGGGGGTGCCACCTCCACAGGGCCAGCGGTGCCCCCGGCCGCTCCTTGCCAGCCTCAGCCAACCCATCAGCGTTAATGCACGGCTGTATGCACCCGTACCAGTGGGGAGCGGGCTGGTCGAGACCGCTCGTAGCCAAAACCCGCTGGCAAATAAAACAGTCTTGTTCGCTGTGGGGGAGCAAGAATTTAGGGGAGTAGTTTGGCAGGAAGCTCGTACGCTTGCGTATTGGAAAATAGTTTGTCCCAGTGCCCACCTGATGATTTTCCCCTCTCCCCTGCTGGTTTCGCTCCACTTCTCCGGCAGTGCCCCGTTTCACTCCCCCAGCCACCCCAGGATCCCTTTCCTCTGTTCCTTTCCCCTCTGCCCACAGCTTTGCACCTTGTCCCCTGCAGCCAGGCTGAGAGGGAAAGGCAGGAAGAGCTGGGGGTCCCGCTCCGCACCCCGTGGGGCTGCAGCACTCACAGCTGTGAGAGCGGTGGGCTGATCTGCTGCCTGGGGGTCTGCACACAAGGGACCTCCACGTCCACCCATCCAGGGACAGCATTTTCCATCTCTAAGAGCGTGGTGCTCCCCAGTGGGCTCTGCTGTGCTGGTGCCATGGGTCTGCTCTTCCTCCAGGTTCCTGGGCCCCTTCTCCTTTTCGGGATCCGTGCATGTGTGTGTGCGCAGATCCCTGCCAGCATTGCTGGAGCCTATGCCTTGGCTCTGAAATCTTCATTTAGCTGTGATGAATCCAGACCACCAAGGCGCACATTAATTTTCCTGATGCTCGTTTATATTTTGTTGATCGGAGAAACACGCATGATGTGGGCAGGCAGACACTGGGCTCTCACCTCTTCTCCACCTCTTTCCATTTCTGTGGCTCTTACTGTTTTATTCCTTGATCAAATATAAAAAGCAAAGAGGAGAAAATATCCTGCACTCGTCCCCTCCCCAGCAGTAACTTTCGTTGTTGGAGGAGCGCGAGGTGCTGCCAGCTTTTCACAAGAGTTAACCTTCATCTGGCTTTAATACCCAGTGGAAACATGGCTCCCCTCCTCGGCTTGTCTTAAAGGATTAATCACATTTCTGAAGTTCACCCGTATTCCTTCTTTTTATTATTATTTTTTTTAATTGAACGATGCCAAGAAATTCCAGAAGTATTAAGCATGTTCGCTGCAAATCATTTTTATGACATTGCAAAACCTCCCCTTTTCTTTTCAACCTCCTCCCCTTCCCTCAGATGAACGCTGGCTCCCCCGGCAGCCCCCCGGCAGCCCCTCCGCGCCGTGCTGGGGGAGGCTTTCTCGCTGCCTTGCCAAGAGAGCTGTTTTTTATTTAAACTCCATAAAGGATCTTGCTTTAATCAGAAAGTCTGCTTGAGAAATTTCATGTCACTTTTCCATGACTGTGGGTGGGAGAAGCTTGGAGCCAGAGTTGTCTTTTGCTCTTGGAGAGCTGCTGCATTTCCCAGAGAACAAAAACCACATTTTTCTGCCGGCCGGGGCTGCCAAGGGAGGCTGCCTGCCGGCCGGCCGCCAGCCGTCCTGCTTCCCCTCCCGCCCCCCGGCGCTCCAAACTGCCCGAGGCCGTGGGCGCCACGTCCCAGGATGGGTTTTGAGGGGGCGAGGGAGCCGCTGACAGCGCGTGGCCGCGCCATGCTGCGGCGACAGACGTGACGTGCCGCCTTAGTGTGGCGTTTTGAAAAGGGAGCGCGGTCTCATTTGGGATTTAGCGGTGTGGCGCTTGGGAGGTGCGTGTCAGCGCTGGGTCCCGGGTTTTTTTCTCGAGCCTTGATGCGACAACGGGACTGTCGGCCAAGCGTGGGATGTGCCGTTGTTACTAGGGGTCGCCTGGGCTGGTGCACGGCACCGTAAAAACACACGTGCGGGACTTTTTTCCTGGCACAAAATCCTCTCCCTCCCAGCACAGCCTGGCTGAGGCAAACTTTGGGATTGCAGCACCCCAGAAAGATTTGTCGCCGTGCCCAGGGAGACAGGGGACCAGTTTCATCTCTGGGAAGCTTGGCAGGGCCAGGCTGGTGTGCTCCTGCCAGATCCGTGGGGTTTCACCACAGTTCTCTACTCCTACTTTGAAAAACAGGCAAAAGAAAATAAAAAGTCAAGCGCCCCTTTCCCCCACCCCTGTGTGGCCGCCACGTCAGCGCTGCCAGGGGAGCGACCCCCGTCACAGCCTCGTGGGGGCACACGTGCTGGGAGGGGCTGTGTTCAGGGCTGCTTTAGGGAGGGGACAGCTGTGCCATGTGGAGGAGAAGCTGCTTTTCCTTGCCAGTCTCTGGTCTTTGAACTGGGGCGTGGGCACTGCTCGGGCACACACAAAGCATCGTGGTTAACCAGCCTTCGGCTGGGAGATATTTGATGGGAGCGAGAGTGCCGGGAGTGCAGATGCCGATTGCTCAGGCGCTGGAGGAGTTCTGGGCAGCTCTGGGAGCGTCCAGTGTTCACACGCCTTCTCCCGCGGTGTCACCCCATGTCTGTACACCCTTGAAGCAGGCTGGGCTGCCCGAGTTGGGCTGGGAGACAGATCGGCGGCTATGTTTGAAGTAGCAGGCGGCAGAAGGATGAGTTTGGCCGCCGTTCAGTGCTGCAGTAAGTTGGCTCACTTTTCAGTCTCAGGCCAGGGTTTTTCACACCCAGTTTCTCAGCCGTGGAGCAGGCGGTTTCTCCAGAAGCTGTATTTTAACTTACCCATTTTGTAGGAAGGAGGACGAGGGGGGAAAAAAAAAAGCTCTGAAACCAGGCCAGTTTCCCTGGCTGCTGGGGATGGAGCGGTCCTCTGCCGGCACTGCAGGGAGAGGATGAGCTGACGCCGAGATGCTGAGCCAGCCACTGAGATGCCCTGTCGTTCGCTCTCTCTGCAGATCTCAAAGATTTCAAGTTCGACGGCCAGCACGTGATCGAGGTGGACGAAGGGAACACGGCTGTGATCGCCTGCGACCTGCCCGAAAGTCACCCCAAGGCTCAGGTCCGCTACAGCGTGAAGCAGGAGTGGCTAAAAGGCTTCCCAGGGGGGTGCGGTATTCTGTCCTGCTGGGTCCCTCCCAGGACCCTCAGTTTTTCCCTTTCCTACCAGTAGCAGCTTTTTTCTGCCTCCTCGTTGTCCCTTCGCTTGCTGGTCTAAGCACAGGTTAGTTCAGGGTCTCTGCTAGATCTCCCTGATGTCCCCACTGCCTGGCACTGGGGAGCCATATGTAACACCAGCTTGCAGTAAGGCAAAAGGAAGCAGAGTTAGGTGATGCACAACGTCGCTCTTCACTGAGTGCTCCATGTGTCCATGGAGCATTCTTGAAGCCCAACCCGGATAAAGGCGACTGAATTTGGGGAAATTTTTAAAACTTGGATCTGAATTTTGCAGCTTCGCTCCATCTGCTGCATGTACCTGTGACAAGCTAGGTTCACCTGAGGCTCTCTTCCTTCCATCGTTGCATCGTTGCTCCCCCTGATTTTTGAACCAAAAGTGTTATTGCATTGTTTTCTCCCTTCCTCCTTGTCCACCTTTTCTTCAGGGCACTTCCAGGAGGTTGGGCAGCAGCGTATCTTGTGACCATGTGCCACCTCCTCTTCTCTCTCTACAGACAATTACCTTATTATGCCATCTGGGAACCTTCAGATCGTCAATGCCAGCCAAGAGGATGAGGGGACTTACAAATGTGCTGCCTACAACCCCGTGACGCAGGAGGTGAAAACCTCTGTCTCCAGTGAGAGGCTCCGTGTGAGACGTAAGCCGCTCTCCCTTCACTGCACGACTTCTCCGTAGCGCTTCCAGCCCTGGGAGCACCTACCAGTGCTATTACAGCTAGTTTTCTGTGTGAACCAACGTTATCAGTTGCTAGGAAAACTCCCTTCCAGCAGCAGAAGGCCCCAAGGTCTGCTCCTGGGCTATGTGTCTGCAACCCGGGGATTGCCGTACCTCCTCAGGATTTGTTCTCGGTGATGAGCAAGCCCTAGCCCTTCAGCAAGACCACTTGCTGCGTGCCTTAAGGAACGTCCCTCTTGGCCTGCCTTGCCCTTTATCCGCCCTGTCTCAGGGGAGCAGTGCTACCCCTACCGTTAACCCCTACGTGCACTCTGCACAGAGTGCTTTCCCACCGGCCGCCTTCCTTCCCACCCACGTCCTTCCTCCTCCTCTCCTCACCAGGCTCCACAGCAGAGGCAGCCCGAATAATCTACCCCCCTGAAGCTCAGACCATCATTGTCACCAAGGGCCAAAGCCTCATCCTGGAGTGCGTGGCCAGCGGGATCCCCCCGCCGCGGGTCACCTGGGCTAAAGATGGCTCCAGTGTCTCCGCGTACAACAAGACGCGCTTCCTGCTCAGCAATCTCCTGATTGATCCCACGAGTGAGGAGGACTCGGGCACCTACAGCTGCACGGCTGACAATGGGGTTGGGGAGGCTGGAGCCGCGTTCATCTTCTACAATGTGCAAGTATTTGGTGAGTGCTGCTGTAGCCTTTGTTTCAGAAAGGGCTTGGACTTTCTTCACTGCTTTCAGGGAAAATACTGGTGCTGCTGTACACTTCCTCTCCCTGGACAAACCACAGTGTAATTAACATTAATTGTATTAACAAACCCCTGCTTGTAGTTCCAGTTTCTAGGAGATGGGACAAATTCTGCCTTGAGGGTGGTAGTTCCTCCTTCCTGGCTCCCACCATGGGCTGTAGATGATGGATCTTCCCTTCCTCTGCAGAAGGTCGTCTCTTGTTGTTTGTGGCACTGGGTTTGCTCACTTCCTAGTGGAAGACTGGCTGCTTCTTACATGTATTTGACATTGGCATAGGGAAGACATCAGAGTGTCTTGCTTTTTGTTCTGTTCTGCAGGGAAGCTCTCTGTATGGTGGGAAATGTAAGGGATACTACACCTCAAGATACTTCTACCATGCAGCCTTCTCACCAGCATTAGGGAGACTAAGCCCATGTTTTATTGGATTGCATTTCATCCAGGAGCCGACATGTTGTTTTGGCACAAGTGTGATCTTTGTAGAGTAGCATTTGAGCTCAGAAGAACAGGACTTGAGGGTGGTGGCTGCTGTCATCTGAGAGGGGCAGATGGCTTTGGGCCACCTCTCCTTGCCACCACATGGATGCTGAAGGTGCAATGAAGTGAACCCCTCCGGGCTGCCACAAACGGGGATAGGACTTGGGGGTGGGGCGAGGATCCATCGCTCTTCCCTTGTCCCTGCCAGAAAGGAAAGTGCAAAGCCATGATTGTGCTGTGCTCCCTGCCAAGTGGTGCTCAGCAGCCGTGTTTTCTCCCAACACAGAGCCCCCGGAGGTCACCATGGAGCTGTCCCAGCAGATCATTCCCTGGGGCCAGAGTGCCAAGTTCACCTGCGAGGTGCGAGGGAACCCCCAGCCCACCGTCATGTGGCTGCGCAACGCTGTCCCCCTTTCCGCCAGCCACCGGCTCCCGCTGGCGCGCCGGGCGCCC